ACTATTACTACTACTACTACTACTACTACTACTACTACTACTACTGGTACTACTGGTACTACTACTACTACTACCACTACTACTACTACTACTACTACTGCTACTACTACTACTACTACTACTACTACTACTACTACTACTACTACTCCAGGAGGCTCCCAAGAGGCCCCAAGAGGCTCCCCCAAGGCACCCCAGACGCTCCTAGAAGCCCCTGGGGCCGCCAAGAGGCCCCGAAGACGCCCCAAAAGGCCTCCAAGAGGCTCCCAAAACGACTCACACCACGACGAGGGCCCCGAACGACTCACACCACGAGGAGCCCGAACGAGTCACACCAGGAGGAGGGGCCCGAACGACTCACACGACGACGAGGGGCCCGAACAACTCACACCACGAGAAGCCCGAACGACTCACACCAGGACGAAGAGCCCGAACGACTCACACCACGAAGAGCCCGAACGACTCACACCAGGAAGAAGGGCCCGAACGACTCACACCAGGACGAGAAACCCCAAACGACTCAAACCACGAGGAGCGCTTTCTCTCCCTCCTCCTCCGCCTCGTCCTTCTCCCGCTCCCACCACAAGGAGGATGTACAAGGAGGCGGGAGGAAGGAGGAACAGGGGAGATATGCGGGGGCAGGCGGAAACACGCCTGAAAAACACGACTGTCGGCATGCTTCGCACGAGTTGCTGTTTTGAGATGGGCTGGTGGGGATACGCGAAGCGTAAAGAATTCTCATCATCATCATCTTCATCATCACCATCATCCGCATCATCCTCATCGTCCTCACCCGCAGCATTATCACCATCATCATCAGCATCACCATCATTACCATATCCTCATCAGCATCACCATCATCAATTTCATCATACGTATCACCATCACGATCCTATTCGTCAGCAGCAGCAGCAGCATCATCATCATCATCATCATCATCATCATCATCATCATCATCATCATCATCATCATCATCATCCTGATCATCATCATCATCATCACCATAATCAATCCTTATAACAACCAGCATCATAATCGTCATCATCATCATCATCATCCACATGACCATCATCATCATCATCAGCATCATCATCGTCATCAGCATCCGCATCACCATCATCATCATCACCACAATCAGCATCATCATCAGCATCATGACCATCATCATCATCCTCATCATCACGATGGTCGACTCATCATCGTCAGTATCGTCATAATCATCAGCATCAGCATCGTCATCATCAATATCATCATCAATATCAGTATCACCATCATCATCATCACCATCATCATCGTCGGCATCAATATCAGCATGGCCATCATCATCAAAATCGTCATCATCACCATCGTCATGATCACCATCATCGTCATGATCATCATCAACATCCCATTGTCGTCATCATCGTCCTCGTCCTCATCATCATCATCATCATCATCATCAGCATCATCATCATCTTTTCCCCTCATCATTATCATCAGCATCATCATCAACTCATCATCCCCTCGGCCTCTCCCCCTCCTCATCACCCGCGGCCCCAGTCGGCCAACATCACATCTTCGTCATCCTCATCAGCATCCCATCAGCGTCATCATCGTCATCTGCATCATCTTTATCATCATCAGTACTACCATCATCATGGTCATCATCATCAGCATCATCATTACCGTCATCATCATCATCATCATCGTCATCATCCTCACCGTCATCATCATCAGCATCATCATCAGCATCATGATCGTCATAATAATCAGCATCATCATCATCACCATCATCATCATCATCATCAGCATCATCATCATCATCATCATCATCGTCATCATCATTATCGTCGTCATCATCATCATCATCATCACCATCATCATCATCATCATCATCATCATCATCATCATCATCATCATCATCATCAACATCATCATCATCCCCTCGGCCTCTCCCCCTTCTCATCACCCGCGGCCCCAGTCGGCCCGTGGAACGGGGGGGGCTGGGGCAGCCCCTCAGGGTGGGGAATCTGGCGCGGTGGCCGCCTGCCAGAGCGGTACTCGCCCGAGTACCTGCGGCGGCCACCATGCCGTCGTCGTCGCCGCCGCCGTCGCCGCCGCCATCATCGTCGCCTGGCTTCCTCTCGTCGTAAAAAAAAACACCACGGGCGGCGTTTGGTAATCTTCGGCTCTTGGAGCGAAAAATCACGTCGTCTGAGGTATGGGTCGACCCATTCTTTTTCCCTCAATGCACCACATCAGGGGTTAGTACTTACAGTCATCGCGCTACCATCAGAAACGCAGAAGACGGGACGAAATGGTTCTTCTGGCCACGACAGCCCTCGGCCACGAACAGGCTCAACGACGTACACCTAAGAAACGGCCCGAAAATCAGAGCCCCTCATGAGCCCGAAGCGGTCCATCCTTCAGCGTCTTGACCGTGAGCCCCTGCGGCTGACTTTGCTGGGGATACGGCCTGTGCCCGTCCGTCGCCACGCCAAGTCATCGTCGTCATATTCGTCGTCGTCGTCGTCGCCGCCGCCGCCTCGTGCGTCGGCTGGTATTTTGCCGACCTTCGCTGAGCGGGCGCCCGTGACCGCCTGGGGGGCCGCCCCGCGGTCTGGCGGCGGGCGTTTCCAGGATCTGGCTCTGCGGTGCGCCTGTCGGCGCCTCGTCGCCGCCCTGAGAATACACCGCATCAAACTGCACGACGTAGCTTACCGTCGGACCTAGGCCAGAAGAGCCCCCTCTCGAGAACATGAAACCCTCCGCCTGCCAAAGCACACAAAACATCCAAGGGTACCCTCCCAAGGATGCACGAGAACGTCCAACAAACACGAAGAGCACTAGGGCACCCTCCCCGGACCGACCTCGATCTTGTGTTTCGGTCCGACTGTAGCTTACATGTCGTAGGTTCTCAAATTATGACTTGCACGCCTTGTCGCAACGACTTACCTCACACTTTCCTCTGCCATTCACCGGGGAAACCGGGGTCATCGGCATTGGTGTCCGCACTGTTTCCCACATTTCTTCTGAACGACGGTTTTGGTTGAGTATCAACAGATAGTACGCACAGCCGACCGACATCGCCCCAACATCCACGCCATCCCTGTACAATAACACCGTTCGGGCCATACGAGCGTGCACATGTCATAGTCTTTTCACGGGTAGTTTCCGACAAATGTTGGGCAAAACCTATGAACGAAAGTTCGGGAAACATTGGTTCCAACACAACAAAACTGTGTGCGCGCCCCTGCTGATGATCCGAAAAACGCACGTCGTTGCCGTTATCAAAGGTCCGGCAACGCGGGCCACAACAGCGCGCATGTCGTAAACATCTAACTATCATAGCGCGCTTCCGCGCGTGAGTGATTCATTAACCATCGCCTCCGCGCGCGAACGTTGAAATCTTTCGTACATTTCCTCATCACCTTCATCGTCTCCATCGTCATCATCACGCGCACCATTTTTCATGGCGGCGCACCAAGCATTGTGTGCTTGAGGTGGCCCAGCAAGGCGGCGGTGCCGCGGACACGGCAAGTATGCCTGGTCTGATAAATAGCTCTTCCCTGCAGCACGAAACCCTACCTGCATGCAACGAACAGGAGCTAACTTTCTCATGCGTTCAGTAAACCGCTGCGCGGGGCAAGCTCCGCCCCACAAGAACGCGCCGCCGACCTGGCAAAAGCCACGAGGTGCGGAATCCAAAACCGACGGCCCGGTATCCAAAACTGTTCCACTGAAATCAGGGCGAGGAAGGGCGAGGCGAGGAAGACGGGAGGACGAGGGGGGAGAAAAGGAAAACATCCAACAGGCAGGCAAATCGAAAATAACGATTCCCCATGGCGCGCCGGATTGTACAATCACTGTCGCTCGAGTACGCCATACAACTAGGACCTGCACGCCCAAAGCACATTGTCCCCTGCGTTGTGATGCCGGAGGAAAGCACGAGCTGCGGAACAGCTCTACACATGGAGCGTAAAGGACACGATTGAGGGGATGGAAGGAAAACAAAATAAGGAATCATGGATCGACCCAGTGGACAACTCAAGGTGCAAATAGCGACGGCCTGCCTCCAAGAGACAGGAAAACACAATTAATGCTCGATCGAATCGGGACCTGAGGTGTTGCAGCATACGCGTGGGGGTCCTTTTGAAAGCGCCGGGCGGTTGTCCAGCCATTGAAAAGAGTATGAGCGCAGGCAGGGAGGACACGCGGAGGAACCTGGCGCCGCAATCTGAACATGGTAGTGGCAGAGCACTCAGTCCGCGCAGACGCGCAGCTTCGATGGTCCTAAAATGTGGTTCCACCTGTACAACCGTCTCTGGAAGGCCTGAAGAGGGCACGCCAGAAACAGGCGGCCATGCAATTGTTTGAAAAATTGTTGCCTGGTCAGCCCTAGCCTCACCACGAGCCGTAATCAATAATACTCCCGTTGTGCTGGGCCAAGTCTGCGCGCGGTCCGAGACACGGACGGCCAAATGATCAAGGCACGATCACCACCTCCAAAGCAGCGGAGCAGGGTCTCTCAGAGCAACGCGTTGCAGCAGGCTGAAGCTAGCACGTCACCCAGAGCACGTCGCCGACCCGCAGATGCAATATGCAGGGCCGTGATACAGCGAAACGGTACTGGCAGTCCGAGCAGGTCGCGATTGAACTCGTACTTCGGGGGCGGCCAGTTCACTGGCCTAGCGACCAATTTGTGAAGCATCGCACGCTCGGTCATCAGGAGATCTGTGGTTGGCTCCACCAGCTGTGCGACAAACCCAAGCACGCTGATGGCAGTGGAATTGCACAGCAACGCTTGGCTGGCAAGCCGAATAAAAAAGGTCCTTGATGTACTGGGCTCTGCCAAAGTATTTGCGCAACGGTGCCACGAGAGATAGCGAATCCGCCCCCAGACCGAGGAAGAACACGAACTATTAGCCAGAAGAGTCACACAAAAACTCGCCCCAAGAAGAAATAATATCTTCCTTGATAAACCGCGCACAGCGTTCCGATTAAATTGGTCAGCGAGGCATGGT